GAAAACATACAAAACTCATTGAAAACAACAAATTGCATGTGTGAATCTTACGCAATACGTTTGACGGTGATAAAATCAAGAAAACAATTTATGTAATTTATTAAATTATAATAGAATAATTATTTTTTATAACAAAATATATCATTTGAAGTTTTCGTCAAAATAATTAAAATGACACCAAATAAAAAGTTTATGTGGTTTTCTATTTTTATTTTTATCTCTTTTTACATTATTTTTTATTATTAATATATAATAAATTACATAAATTAATAAAAATATAGAAACCGTATAAAAATAATATTTTGAGGATAGTAAAATGAAAGTTTAAGAAACATAAAATACAATAAATAAAATTTAAAGAATGAATAAAATGTAAAAGAGAGACATATTTGATGTTTTAGAAGATAATTAAGTTTTATTTTGAGGTTATATTGGAAAAAAATAAGTCTGTTTCACCCTGTTCCATGGGGTAGGGGTGGAACAGACCTGTTTCACTCTGTTCCTGTCTGTTCCACATAAAATTCATGCCAAACATGGGACAGGAATTCATGTCATGTCCCTGTCCAGTGTACCAAACGCATCCTTAAAGACCGTTCAATGACAAGGAATCAAGGACCAAATTGTCCCTCACTTGACGGGTGCACGTTTTTAGGAAAATTGTGGAAATCGAAGAGGGTGATTTCGTTTTAGGGAATAGAAATGCAAATTAGAATGAAAACAAAAGAAAAGAAACCCAAAATTTTATTCCTGATTAAACTGTGCAAATGAATTTACAACAATTCCCAGAACAACACAATGATAACATACGTACCAACTGATTCTACAGGAAATCATTACAATACAACATATGGTTATGATTGCTATAAGCTCTACCACAAGATTGTTGCTTGCTTGAAAGGCAGCTTACCTCAGTTATAATTCTGTAGCTACCATATCCAGATAGGCCAATACCAAATCCCATTTGTTACACCATCCATGAAGCTTATGTATGGCTTTTTGTACTAAGCAGATATTCTGTTATTTGTTGTCACAAATAAAAGAATATTCAGCAGCTAACACCTGTAGAATAAACTTCAGTCCAATCAACACAATCAATGAACTAGGTCTTTCTTACCTAAATGAACTTCTGTAAAATCAATCATTTGACTGTCACGGCTGCTTCACATCATAACCCACGGATAAAGACATGAACTAGGTCTTTCTTACCAAACAGAAAATCAGTTATTAAGGTATGAATATAAGGTGATGAAGTCAGTTACACAGCTATCCAACAGATGCAACACATATTTAGTGGCTACAAAGCACTTAGTAAAGTTGAGTAAGGGACCCAATTCATAACAATAGTGAAACCATGGTAACCATACATGTAATTGTTTTATTAGAAGGACCCAATCAAAGAAATTTAATAACCACAGGGACGAAATTTGTAATTTACTCTTTCATTTATTATATTAGTAAACTATAAAGTTGGCACTTACATATATGGTATCCTTTTTATTTTTTATTTCTTTATTATATTTTAATACTACATATATATATATATACACACGCGCATATAACACACACACATATATATATATATATAGAGAGAGAGAGAGATAGGTGTGTTATTATACAACCATTTACATTTGTACAACCAATACAACTTAATCTCAACCGTCGATTTAATTTGATGAATATGTAATTTTATAAAAGTTTGATTGTTTCTTAATATAAAGTACTGATCATAATTAATGAACCTTATTCATCTTCCATAAATATTTAAATCATAATAAATGAACTCTCATCATTTCCATAAATATTTTAATTTATTGAGTTGCATTGTTTGTATAAATGTGATGAATTGCTTTTAAAACAAACTCTCTCTCTCTCTCTCTCTCTCTCTATATATATATATATATATATATATATATAATTTTGGTTTAAATATTAAACAAATTTGATTAATTAATAAAAATTAACGTTTAAATGAAAATACAGACAATGAGAGTAAAGTGCATTTAATAAGACAACCAATTGATATAAAAATAAAACTATTTTTTTTTCGAATCCCATTAAACTTCTTCAAATGATAATTTAAAATAAATAATTAATAAGTTTTTTTTTTTATTTTATCAAAGTTTTTATTTTTTTATTTTAAAAACTGGTTGGTACTTTATTAAATTCTTTCTAAAAATGGAGTTAGGTTTAAAATATTAATTAAAATATCAAGACATTTATTTTTACTATTAATTATATAAAAAATTATCATAAAACTTTGTCACTTTGCTCTCACTATTCCATATTTTTATTTAAAATTTTATTTTCTAATTAAATAGTTGATTTGATATTAACATTGATATATTTTTTTTCAAATTTTTATAATATCTTCAAATTTATATTTTTTTCAAAAATAAACTATTTAATGTTTTTTTAAAAACACATGAAATCGTATTATAACATCGAAAGAGACAAATAATAAAATAGAACATTCAAATCGAGATGTGTCTTGCTGCATTGCACAAGTACTCTTCTAGTTAATATTATAAATGAATTTTAAGGATAAATATTTAAAATTTTATATACCGGACTAATTATGTAATTTTTCAAATAAATTTTTGGAATTTTCAACTGCTGTTCTTAACACCGTTAGATGAAGAAACAAAAATAGAAGCCAAATAAAAATCAAAGTGATGAAAAAGCACTTTTTAAATTATAAAGACAAAAATCGTTATAAACATTAAACCACATGAACGAAAATTGTTGTTTACTCTTTACGTTTTAAATATTTCAGAAATAAATAATTATTTGTTCTATAAAAGAAAAAAAAATCTTAAAAAAAAAAAAAGGCAAGATGCCTTCGTATTTTGAGTCATTAAGGGACTGTTTACCTAACGTTTATTCGGGTAAGCATTTATCAAATGACGTTGCCTTGTCAGATGAATATAGTAAGGACTAAGAATTTTATTCGATAAAAGCAAAACAATGATCGAAAGTCTTACTCGATAAGTGAGAGTGATAACTCTTACCACGGTTAGTGCTTACCGGGTAAATTATTGCATACAATGCTGTTTTCGTGAACTAAAATCTTATCCGGTAAGTAAGCGATAATGTTGAATTTCACAGTTAAGCGCTTTACCGGGCAAATAATTTAACACTTACCCGGGTAAGCGCTTACCAAGTCATGTTACGTCATTGGATCAATATGGTAAGAACCAAGAATCTTACCCGGTAAGTGAGGGCGACGACTCTTACCATGGTAAGCGCTTACCTGGTAAATTGTTGCATACGATGTCGTTTTGATAGACTAAAATCTTACCCGCTAAGTAAATAATAATGTTAAATTTTACCGATAAGCACTTATTGGGTAAGTGTTTGATAAACGACCCTAAGACATTAATATACATTGTGTTCTTTTTTGTACCTTTTTCTTTATAAAACACAGCTTTTGATGAATTCGGTTTTTACTCTTCCAGAACTAAAAGAATCGGCTTTTGAAAATTACATAATTATCCAAGAGTTTAATATTTTGTTATAATTAATTATCCGATTCTAATTGTTCAAAAGATACACGATTTTTACATTTGAAACTTCACAATAAAATGTTGTGCAGATAAAAAAAAAGCAAATATTCACAGCAAAAACACTGGGAAAGTTATTTTTCCATTGTTTTGCTGTGGAGTTTCAGGTGTAAAAATCGTGTCTCACGTCTCAAGAATGTGAAAATTAGGTTACGTAGATTAGATATAACGACAATTACCAAAACTTGCTTGACTACGACTCTACGAGGTTAATTGGGCGTTCTCGGGTTTTGCTCATTGTTCGTACCGATGACGGTCTTTTGATATCATACGAAATGCCGAACGTTTTTTTTCCTTTCAGTCGAGTGCAAGTCGTTCGCGTTTTTGTAGATTGTGATTTGGTTTAACGAATTAAATCAATTAATCATTTGGTTTCATTACTCATTTTTAATATAGAACTGAATCCAACCTCTAATTCATAGTTGAATCTAATACTTTCTAATTGAAAATGTTTATGTAACTACAGGTCTACACACCTGGTTGTAGGGTTATGCAGTAGTAGGAAATCGACTGAGGTCGGGATTGTTTCTGAAAACGTTTATCGGGTAAGCATTTACCTGTAAGAGTCACCACTCTCACTTTCATGTAAAGCGCTAAACGGGTAAGAGTCACCACCCTCCAATACCAGATAAGATTGTTGGTCTTTGTCATGCTCGATCATTGTTATCTAAAATTATTTAGAAGTTTTGAATTTTTTATTTTCAATATGTTATCCAGAACAAAGCTGGAGTTTGTTTGTTTACCTCTTAGTAGTTCAATTAATATGCAACATCTGAATCGTTAAAAAGTGAATATTGTTTGGCAAAAAAAAAGTCTACGGGGTTGTTTGACAATTGTTGAATGGTTTGGTGCAGAATGATTAAGAGGCTCTCATGATATAGTGCAAAATGAAGTATAATTGTTTAGTAATTGTGTACAATGAAATTATGGCTTTTAATGGTTAAGGGAGATCCATGATACAAAATTATTCAGAGGGTTTTAGAACCATTAAGAAGCAGACTTTTATTTTGCCAAACAAAATTCACCTTTTAACGATTCAGATGTTGTCTCTTAATGGAACTATTAAAAGGTAAACAAACAACCCCCTACCTCTTAATCTAAAACCCTCTAAATGATTTTGTATCATGGGTCTCTCTTATCCATTCAGCACCCTAATTTCATTGTAAACAATCAACAAACAATTATATTTTATTTTGCACTATATCATAAGAGCCTTTTAATCATTCTGCACCAAACCATTCAGCAACTACCTAACAGTCTGAGCACTTTGCAACATTTTTCAAGATTTTCCATTTTTACCCTTACAAAAAGTAACAACTAACTTTTGTAACAATCGTACTTGACATTTTGACTCAAAACCAAGTGTCAAGTACGATGGTTAGAAAAGTAAAACACAGTAAATATAACCTGCAAAAACATTTGGGGTTTCAGGAACAGCAGTAAAAGGGCAATGAAAACGTTCATTGATAAATGCTTCTGTGAGTAGCAGCAGAAGGCAATTACAACTAAATTTGATCCCTACATAAGATAAATAAGTATTGAAAAATGATGAGAAAAGTTCAGAAATTGATACAAAATATGAATTACCTCTCGACGTCCGACGAGAGACGTTCCGCCAACCGTATCTCCCTATAGATCGTTCCCCCTATCGAAGAAGAAAAAATGCCTATACAAGAAACGAACCAAGTGATCAGCACAAATGGAATGATAGTATGGCAAGAAAAAGTTCAAATGAAAACCGTTAATATTTTGAGAACCAGCTATTTCATGAAATATTCATAATGAATAACCCCAAAATATTATTCATCAATAGTTGGTTTCCAGGTTCTCAAACTATTTAGGTCCTCGTTTGAATCTGCTCGTAGTATGGTAAATCTTTCTCACCCTATTTTTGGTAAATCATCTCTAGTGCCACAGCTTACTGCAGAATCCGTTTCTGGGTCGTTTAATATTTATGATATCGGCAAACGAGTGAACCAACTGTCCAGCCAAGCTACACGGATCGTCAATCAGGGTTTGGATGAAGGTGTTGACCACTCGGCGTTCCTGTTCGGTTGACCTCAAACTGAACCATGTGAGCAGCTTTAATCTAAACTCTTGTTTGATATACCCTTGGCACTCGAGCCACCGGATGATTTTCACACAATATTCAAAGTTTTCGTCCAAACTACCAGCTCCRCCTTTGCGGGTCCCAAGGGGTGATCCATTTATCAGAGTGCTATCACAGTCGTGTGTCTCTTCCATCGTGCTAGCTGGYCTTTTCCGGGATACTTCAATCTGTGAATCAACGGCTGGGACTTCCCCATTTGACCGATGGTGAGCCCAGTTTTCAGATTCACCACTACCGTTATCTGGTTCAGCATTTCGGCCTACTGAACAGCCGTTCTCTTCATCCCTAAAGGAATCAACCGGAAGGGCTATCTCTTCGTTYAGATCGGGGACGGTTGCAACATTCAAGTCAAGCCCATGTGAAGTGGATGGCAACTCATCTATTTTTGGAGTTTCGGGTTTGATTATTTTAYTAAGTCCACTCAGAGCTGCACCTGAAATACCATCTAGGTATCCTCGTTCTTGAGCCCATGCTAAGCGGAGGATCTTTCCAAGTTCTCGGACTTTAAACCCGGAATCAGATTCAACATCTTTTGCACCAGACGTTCCTTCGTTATGAGGAAGCATAACAGCATTTGGGTTCTTCTGAATTATCTCCACACTTCCGGTGAAACACTTGACCTCTGAGTGTCCCAAATCACCAATATCGGTGTAGGACACAACCCTAAATAAGTATTCAGTGCAAGGCTGCAGATTGGAGATCAGAATTCTTCTTTGAGATCGTGGAAATGTTGCAACTGGATCTTTTGTGTGTGTCTCCGTTGTTTTGGAGTACCATAACTTAAATCCGATAATATCGTTGGACAATGCTGTAGATAGTTCTATTAATACAAGCACTACMGAAGAAGCTGTTACTTCTTCAAAAATGAATTTGCATGCTGCAGGAAGTGAACCTTCTGCGAAGAAACAAATAGAGAAAATGTATCAAGAACATAGTGTTGCTTACGTTCTTTCATAGGGGTGTGTAAGGGCCTATTCGTTAGCAGCTTAATGAGCTTAATGGACTCACAGCTTATTCAGTAAGCTATACATGACTGTTTGGTAGTGGCTTAATGATACAGAAAGTGGCTTATCCAGTAAGCTTTCAAGGGGGAGCTTTACGCAGCAAGCCAAGTTTTTTCCAAAGCTGTACCTCCCAATTAAAAGACATGCTCCCAAACAAAAACCTTCATAATCTATATAGACAGATTAATTCACATGTAACACCCGGATTTTTTTTGGTAAGTGAAATCCCAAGTTTTAGGTGTGTTTTCATCCTTAGAATAGGTTTATCAAGTATTTTGAAGTTTGATTATGCTTGGGTATGAAAATAGGCAAGAAATGATCAAAGAATGAAATTTCAAAACTCCCCGACCGCGAAGAAAATTCCCTGGAAGTGAATACAACTCCCTGGTCGTGAAAGTTGGGCAGGTTTGGGTCTGGAAGGGTGCAGATCATGTGCCAAGTTTTTTCCTCAATAGAACCGATTTTCCTCCCATTGTTACCTCATTTCTCATCTCCTAACTCATTTCTCCCTCAATCAAACTTGGTCCAAGCATCTCTATTTCACCCAATCGATTTCTTCAAGAGTTTTGTGAGATCAATGAGCTAGGGATTATGATGAAAGCCCTTCACCATCTTCATCTTCTCCATTAGAGCTCATACCCACCTCCTGGTTTCCTCATTCAAACTCGATCTGGGGACTTGCTAGTGCTTTTATTCATCTTCTCCAAGCATTTAACAGATCCTAAACATCAAGATTTCAAGTCTAGATCCAAGATCCGAGTTCATCTTCTTCATCTCCATTTCCACCATTGTTGTCCTAGTTTTTGGAGTTTCTTCCTAGAAACGAAGTATAAGTCATCTTAACCTTCTAAACTATTATTATTGTTAAAAACCTTTCATTTTAACCTCCTAGCGCATTTATTTTGAGGTATCTTCCATGTTTTGAAGTTTTGACCAATTTTGGATATTTTAGATGATTAGAGAATTTGAATAAGATTTGCTATGAATCTAACTTTGGGGTTACTTTTGGTACATCTCTAGGCTTTGGTTGTGACCTAGATAAAGTTTCAAGAGGTGGATGTTGATGGATCAAAAGCCTTCACCATTTTGGAAACTAGAGATAGATTTGGAACCTAGGTTTACTGTTTAACCTAACCTAACAAGGTGAGTTCACGTTGTTTTTGTAAAAACTACGTACATGCCAAAATGTTTATTAAAGTATTGATGTGTTTTACTTTATATTTATCATATGTTTTGAGTATTTGATGAAGTTAGCATATCTAGTAAATTTGGGTTAATAAATCTTGTAAAATACATCTACTTGGGTTCTTGGACATTTTGATAAATAAATTATATGGGTTCATTTGATGATTAATCCTATAAATGATATTATTTGGTGATAATGCATTTATAGTGTACTAGAAGGGTACTTGCACAATGAAGCAAGATAAATTTCCATTTTAATGTTTAGCTTTTATTGTCTCTACCAATGTAATACGATTTTATGTGGTTTTGAGAAAGCGACAATGTTTTTATTATAAAAATATA